AGTAAAATTACAAAATTTGGTAGCGAAATGTTGTAAAATGTGGAAAATATAGCCTTGCAAAGTTTGCAAATTTTGTATACTTTTGTATTGCGTGCGACATTTTCGGCCTAAATGTGGTAGGAATTTCCGCAAGCAATACAAAAGTATCCAAAATTTGCGAACTTTGCAAGGCTATATTTTCCTCATTTTACAACATTTCGCACCAAACTTTGTAATTTTACTAATTTTAGTATGCTCTTTCTAGCTGTCGTGATTTATTTGAGTTTCTTTACCTAATTTTAAAATTAGTCTATAATGGGAATTGTCTATTAATGGATGATTCCAGCTATAGACGAAATTTTGATCTGGACAAGAAGAATGAAATCCATTACCATAGCTGGAAAGAGCATCTTAAAATGAGTAAAATTGCAAAGTTTGATTGCGAATTGTTGTAAAACGAGGAAAATATAGATAGCTCTGTGAAGTTCGCTAATTTTGTATGATATATCGGCATTACACGCGGGAAAAATAACCATTTTTGAGCCGAAAGTGGTTATTTTACCGCGCATAACACAAATATATACGAAATTTGCGAACTTCACAGGGCTATATTTTCTTCATTTTACAACATTTAGCAACCAATCGTAAAGTTTGAAGTTTTACTCATTCTAAGACGCTATTTCGTTCTTGCCTTGATCAAAATTTAGTCTATAGCTGGAATCACCCATTGTATATAACGTTTAAATGAAGCTACTGAATTTGGTAATGCCCAAGAAATGGCTCTGATCAGGAATCGCCCCTGTAAATAGATATCTTGCAAAAAAGTACTGTATATCATACCTTTAAAAGCAACAACATTTGAAGTAAAAATAAATAATCTTGTCAGCCCCAGGTAGACAGCACTATGCGTTTGACCCCAGACCACTGCGGGAAATGCCAGAAGTTTACCAAAACTGGACAACAACAGAACGCGGAGTAGATCTCCATACCTATAGTAGTAAACATGGATACTTCAGGTGTAATTTGTCTGCTTGGCTAGTACAAGCTGTTCACTTCAGAAGAAATATACGAGTCCCACCTCGCTAGCCTCACGCTGTGCCAGTTGAACTAAGGTCCCAGTTACATTTATTATAAGTACTATTTCACCATGAACTACCTTGGTATAATGGTCAGCTTACTCCAATAAGCGTAGCTCCTTAATGCCAAGAGGATTGCTGACAAAAAGACAATTGTTTCTAAAATATCAGAGAAAGTTCTGGTAAATGCCAGAGAAGGAGCCACACTATGCACATGAATAAGGTTTAAACCATGTATCATATACAAGTATAATATTCAACCACACTATGCACACGCAGGGCCTCTTTTAAGGATGTGTAACTGGGGCGGGGACATATTTCGCGGGGGACCTGGAGAAGTCCCAGTCGGCAAGTCTGTATCACTGCAGATACCAGCATATATATGCATGGTTTAACTAATAAGTATATATACTATACGTCACAGGGCATCAGATCAGGCACGTAACTAGGATTCTGAGACAACCGAGTCGAGCACCAAAGGTGCGAGCCGTCTAGAGGGGTCTGGGGGCTTCCCCCCCCCCCCCCTCAGGAAATTTTGGATTTCCTGAAGCTCAGATATACTATTTCCAGCATTTTGAGGAGTGTTCCAGCAAGAAATTAACCTTATAAACAGTGACACAATTACTGCAATTTTACAGTCTCCCAACTATAATCCAGTCCCAATAAGGCAACATGATGTAATGATGCGGTAATGAAAATGTGCGTGGTATAGTATTATCATTCAAATTCTACAGCACTGTATTTTATGTGTTCGGGTACTTGACATCGACGCATTTATCTTCTCAGTGTCACTGAAGAGCAAGATAGGGTGGTCTCTTTGGAGTATCTTTGCTTGGAAAAACTAAACTAGAATTTCATCCTAAAATGCCATTTCATGCCTTTTTCCACGAGCAAATTATTTCAGCCATGGTTAAGGTTTCTGGCGATGTTTAAATTTCAGTCCCCAAATTCCTACCGTGTCAACTGACTCGGTTGACTCATAGCTAGTTACGGGCCTGCATGCAGGTGATGGTCAAATTCAGAAATGTTAACATCATGTTCTCACTTTGATAATATAATTGCTGGTTGACCACCTACTGCAGGTAGTTCTTAGG